CCAGGATTTGGGGATTTTCCAGCTTTTTTTGGGAATTTCTGGTTGGGAAAGGGAAAAAATCCCCAAAAAATCCCCAAAAATCCCCAAAAAAATCCCAAAAAATCCCCAAAAATCCCCGGGGTTTTCCAGGTTTTGGGGTGGGAATTGCTAAAAATGCCAATTCCCAGCCCAAAATGTGGGGAAATTTGGGATTTTTTCCTCCTTTTCCAGCTTTTTTTGGGGTTTTTTTGGGGATTTTTTGGGGTTTTTAAGGAATTTTTTGGGGGTGGATCCTAAAAGATTCCAAGAAGGGAAAAGCTGATGGGAATGGGGGAAAATGGGGGGAAAATTGGGGAAAAATGGGGAAAAATGGGGGGAAAATTGGGGGAAAATTGGGGAAAAATGGGGGAAAATTGGGGGAAAATGGGGAAAAATGGGGGGAAAATTCGGGGGAAAATTGGGGGAAAAATTGGGGAAAAATGGGGGAAAATTGGGGAAAAAGTGAGGGAATGAAATGGGAAAAATCATGGAGAAAATGGGGAAAAATCAGGGAGAAAATGGGGAATAAAATAGGAAAAATCAGGGAGAAAATGGGGAATAAAATGGGAAAAATCAGGAGAAAATGGGGAAGAAAAGAGGGAAAATCAAGGAGAAAATGGGGAAAAATCAGGGAGAAAATGGAAAATAAAATAGGAAAAATCAAGGAGAAAATGGGGAAAAATCAGGGAGAAAATGAGGAATAAAATAGGAAAAATCAGGGAGAAAATGGGGGAAAATCAGGGAGAAAATGGGGAATAAAATGGGAAAAATCAGGGAGAAAATGGGGAAAAATCAGGGAGAAAATGGAAAATAAAATAGGAAAAATCAAGGAGAAAATGGGGAAAAATCAGGGAGAAAATGAGGAATAAAATGGGGAATAAAATGGGAAAAATCAGGGAGAAAATGGGGGGGAAAAAGAGGGAAAAATCAGGGAGAAAATGGGGAATAAAATGGAAAAATCAGGGAAAAATGGGGGGAAAAAATAGGGAAAAATCAGGGGGAAAACAGGAAAAAAATGGGGAAATCCATGGGAAAATCAGGGAAAAAGAAAATGGGGGGAAAAACAGCAGGAAAAACATGGAAAATGTGGGAAAATGGAAAAAAGGTGGGGAAAACACTGGAAAAATGAGGGAAAATGGAAATCTGGGAAAAAATGGGGAAGAAAAGGAAAAGCCCAGAAAAAGGGTGGGAAAATCAGGGAAAAAGGGCGGAAAAATCCAGGGGAAAAAAGCTGGGAAAACCTGGAAAAAAGATGGGAAAATCGGTAAAAAATGTGGGGAAAAAACATGGGAAAAGGTGGGGAAAACACCAAAAAAAAATTCGGGAAAAAATCGGGAAAATCTGAGAAAAATCCAGGAAAAAAAGGCGGGAAAAGCACCTGGAAAATGTGGGAAAAAATGGAAAAACAGGTGGGAAAAAACTGGGAAAAAAGGGCAGGAAAAACACAGAAAAAAGGTGGGAAAAAATTGAAAAAAGGCAGGAAAACCAGGGAAAAATGTGGGAAAAATCCAGGGGAAAAAAGCTGGAAAAACCTGGAAAAAGGTGGGAAAAGCAGGGAAAATGTGAGAGAAATCCAGGGAAAAAAGGCGGGAAAAATCCCGGGAAATTTGGGAAATTTTGAGGGAATTTGGGAATATTTGGGAAAATTTGGGGGGAATTTGGGGGAATTTTGGGAAAATTTGGGGGAATTTGGGGGAATTTGGGGGAATTTGGGAATTTTGGGGGAATTTGGGGCATTCGGAAAATTTTGGGAGAATTTGGGGAAATTTGGGAAATTTTGGGGAAAATTTGGGAAATTTTGGGGGAATTTGGGGGAATTGGGAAAATTTGGGGGAATTTGGGCTGTGGGGATTTTGGGATTTTTGGTGCTTTTGGGATTTTTGGGATTTGGGATTTTTGGGGATTTTTGGGATTTTTGGTGCTTTTGGGATTTTTGGTGCTTTTGGGATTTTTGGTGCTTTTGGGATTTTTGGGGATTTTGGAATTTTGGGGATTTTGGGATTTTTGGGGATTTGGGGATTTTGGGATTTTTGGGGATTTGGGGATTTTTGGTGGGTTTGGGATTTTTGAGGATTTTTGGGGATTTTGGAATTTTGGGGATTTTGGGATTTTTGGGGATTTGGGGATTTTTTGGGATTTTGGGATTTTTGGTGCTTTTGGGATTTTTGGGGGGATTTTGGGATTTTTGGTGGGTTTGGGATTTTTGGGGATTTTTGGGACTTTTGCTGCTTTTGGGATTTTTTGGGGTTTGGGATTTTTGGTGCTTTTGGGATTTTTGGAGTTTTGGGGATTTTTGGTGCTTTTGGGATTTTGGGGGATTTTTTTGGGGATTTTGGGAATTTTTGGGATTTTTGGTGCTTTTGGGATTTTTGGTGGGTTTGGGATTTTTGGGGAATTTTGGGATTTTTGGAACTTTTGGGATTTTGGGGGATTTTTGGTGCTTTTGGGATTTTTGGTGCTTTTTTGGGGGATTTTTTTTTTGGATTTTGGGGATTTTTTTTGGATTTTTGGGGATTTTTTTGGGGATTTTTTTGGGATTTGGCTGAGAATTCCCAATTTCCCCAGGCTCCGAGGAGGACGAGGATGAGGAGGTGAAGAAGAAACGGGAGAAGCAGCGGAGGAGGGACCGCATGAGGGACAGGGCCATGGACAGGGGGTGGGGGGAATTTGGGGAAAATTCGGGGATTTTGGGGAAATTTGGGGAAATTTGGGGAAATTCGGAAATTTTTTTGAATTTTTGGGGAGTTTTTCTGGGAATTTTGCAGGAAATTTGGGGATTTTGGGGGGAAATTTGGGGATTTTTTGGGGATTTTTTGGGGAATTTCGGGGCTTTTTTGTAATTTTGGGGGGATTTTGGGGAGTTTTTCTGGGAATTTTGGGGGGAAATTTGGGGATTTTTTGGGGAATTTTGGGTGAATTTTGAGGAGTATTTTTAGGGAATTTTGGGGGAGTTTTTCTGGGAAATTTTGAGGAGTTTTTGGAATTTTGGGGGAATTTTGAGGAGTTTTTTGGGGAATTTTGAGGAGTTTTTCTGGGAATTTTGGGGATTTTTTGGAATTTTTGGGGAGTTTTTCGGGGAATTTTGGGGATTATTTTGGGGAGTTTTTCTGGGAATTTTGGGGAGTTTTTTTCGGGAATATCGGGGGAATTTTGGGGAATTTGGAGGAGTTTTTTTGGGGAATTTTGAGGAGTTTTTTGGGGATTTTTTGGGGAATTTTGGGGAAAATTCAGGGATTTTTTGGGGAGTTATTATGGGGATTTTGGGGGAATTTTGGTGAATTTTTTCTGGGAAATTTTGGGGATTTTTTAGAAAATTTTTGGGAGTTTTCCTGGGAAATTTTGGGGATTTTTTGGGGAATTTTTGGGGAGTTTTTCTGGGAATTTTGTGTGAATTTTGGGAAGTTTTTCTAGGAATTCTGGGGGAATTTCCCCCATTATTTCCCCCATTATTTCCCCCATTTTTCCCATTATTTTTCCCATTATTTTCCCCATTATTTCCAGGATCCAGTTCGCCTGCTCCGTGTGCAAGTTCCCATTATTATTCCCATTATTCCCAATATTTCCCCCATTATTTTTCCCATTATTTCCCATTATTTTTCTCATTATTTCCCCATTATTTCCCCATTATTTTTTCCCATTTTTCTATAAATTTTTCCCATTATTTTTCCAGGATCCAGTTTGCCTGCTCTGTGTGCAAGTTCCCATTATTATTCCCAATATTTCCCCCATTATTTCCCCCATTATTCCCATTATTTTTCCCATTATTTCCCCCATTATTCCCATTATTTTTCCCACAATTTCCCCATTATTTCTCCATTATTTTTCCCATTTTCCCATAATTTTTCCCATTATTTCCCCCATTATTTCCCCCATTATTTCCCCCATTATTTCCCCCATTATTTCCGGTTTTTTTCCCATTATTTCCCCCATTATTCCCATTCTTTTTTCCCATTATTTCCCCCATTATTCCCATTATTTTTTCCCATTTTCCCATAATTTTCCCATTATTTTTTCCAGGATCCAGTTTGCCTGCTCCGTGTGCAAGTTCCCATTATTTCCCCCATTATTTCCCCCATTATTCCCATTATTTTTCCCACAATTTCCCCATTATTTCCCCCATTATTCCCGTTATTTTTCCCATTATTCCCCCATTATTTCCCCCATTATTTTTCCCCTGATTTTTCCATAGATTTTTCCCCATAATTTTTTCCCATTATTTTTCCAGGATCCAGTTTGCCTGCTCCGTGTGCAAGTTCCCATTATTATTCCCATTATTTCCCCGATTATTTCCCCATTTTCACCATTACTTTTCCCACAATTTCCCCATTATTTCCCCCATTATTCCCGTTATTTTTCCCATTATTTCCCCCATTATTCCCATTATTTTTCCCATTATTACCCCATTATTTCCCCCATTATTCCCATTATTTTTTCCCATAATTTCCCATAATTTTTCCCATTATTTTTAGGATCCAGTTTGCCTTCTCCGTGTGCAAGTTCCCATTATTATTCCCATTATTTTCCCCAATATTTCCCCCATTATTCCCGTTATTTTTCCCATTATTTCCCCCATTTTTCCCATCATTATCCCATCATTTTTCCATACATTTTTCCCATTATTTTCCAGGATCCAGTTTGCCTGCTCCGTGTGCAAGTTCCCATTATTATTCCCATTATTTCCCCCATTATTTCCCCGATTATTCCCATTATTTTTCCCATTATTTCCCCCATTATTCCCATTATTCCCCCATTATTTCCCCCATTTTTCCTGTTATTTTTCCCACAATTTCCCCATTATTTCCCCGATTATTCCCATTATTTTGTCCCATTTTTCCCATAATTTTCCATAATTTTCCCCATTTTCCAGGATCCAGTTTGCCTGCTCCGTGTGCAAGTTCCCATTATTATTCCCATTATTTTTTCCCATTTTTCCCATCATTTTTCCCATAATTTCCCATAATTTTCCCATTATTTTTCCAGGATCCAGTTTGCCTGCTCCGTGTGCAAGTTCCGCAGCCTGGATGAGGGAGGAGCTGCAGCGGCACCTGCAGAGCAAATTCCACCGGGACACCCTGCGCTACATCGGCACCAAACTGCCCGACAGGACCGTCCAGTTCCTCCAGGTGGGGCCACAATTCCCGAATTTTCATGGAATTTGGGAATTCACAGAAATTCCAGAGGTTTGGGCATTTTTTACGGGGAGTTTCTAGGCGAAAATTTGGATTTTTTATGATTTTTTTCTGATTTTTTGTGATTTTTTTCGGATTTATTTTGAATTTTTTTCGGTTTTTTCCCCTTATTTCCCCCCTATTTTTCAGGATTTTTTAGGGATTTTTCCGAGTTTAATATTTGGGAATTTTTGGGGATTTTTTTCAGAATTTTTTTGGAGGTTTTTAGGTGAAAATTTGAATTTTTTATGAATATTTTGGGATTTTTTTTTAATTTTTTCGGTGTTTTTCCCTTATTTTTCATTATTTTTAGGCATTTTTCAGAGTTAAATATTTAGAAATTTTTGGGGATTTTTTCAGATTTTTTTCAGAGTTTTTTCGGGAGTTTTTAGGTGAAAATTCCGATTTTTCACCCATTTTTTTTCATTATTTCTCAGGATTTTTTTGGAGTTTTTTCCCCAATTTTTCAGGATTTTTCTGGGATTTTTCCGGATTTTTCCTGGGATTTTTTGGTGAATTTTTGGGGCCATTTTTGGGTGGAAATTCCCATTTTTTGGGGCTGTTTCCCTCCCACCGGGACACCCTGCGCTCCATCGGCACCAAAGTGCCCGACAGGAGCGTCCAGTTCCTCCAGGTGGGGCCAGAATTCCCGAAATTCATGGAATTTGGGAATTGGGGAAAATTCCAGAGGTCTGGGCATTTTTTACAGCGAGTTTCTAGGCGAAAATTTGGATTTTTTATGATTTTTTTTTGAATTTTTTGCGATTTTTTTCGGATTTATTTTGATTTTTTTTCGGTTTTTTTTTTCATTATTTTCCAGGATTTTTTCAAGTTAAATATTTAGGAATTTTTAGGATTTTTTCCAATTTTTTAGAGATTTTTCGGGAGTTTTTCGGTGAAAATTTGAATTTTTTTGTGAATTTTTGGGGATTTTTTTTAATTTTTTGGGGTCTTTTCCATTATTTTCTAGTATTTTTAGGGACTTTTCCAAGTTTTAATATTTAGGAATTTTTGGGGATTTTTTCAGAATTTTTTGGAGGTTTTTTAGGTGAAAATTTGAATTTTTTATGAATATTTTGGGATTTTTTTAAAATTTTTGGGGTTTTTTTCCCTTATTTTTTTCGGGATTTTTAAGGGATTTTCCCAAGTTAAATATTTGGGAATTTTTGGGGATTTTTTCAGAATTTTTTTAGAGATTTTTCGGGAGTTTTTCAGTGAAAATTTGAAATTTTTTGTGAATTTTTTTGAATTTTTTTAGGGTTTTTTCCATGATTTTTCAGGATTTTTTTAGGCATTTTTCCGAGTTAAATATTGAGAAATTTTTGGGGATTTTTTCAGAATTTTTTTCGCAGTTTTTTCGGGAATTTTTAGGTGAAAATTCCAATTTTTTGGATTTTTTGCCCATTTTTTTCATTATTTCTCAGGATTTTTTTGGAGTTTTTTCCCTGGATTTTTCCTGGGATTTTTCAGGATTTTCCTGGGATTTTTGGAGGAATTTTGGTCCATTTTTGGGTGGAAATTCCCATTTTTTGGGGTTGTTTCCCTTCCACCAGGACACCCTGTGCTCCATTGGCACCAAACTGCCCGACAGGAGCGTTCCAGTTCCTCCAGGTGGGGCCAGAATTCCCGAAATTCCATGGAATTTGGGAATTCACAGAAATTCCGGAGTTCTGGGCATTTTTTACAGTGAGTTTCTAGGCGAAAATTTGGATTTTTACGATTTTTTTTCTGATTTTTTGTGATTTTTTTTGGATTTATTTTGAATTTTTTAGGGTTTTTTCCCTCTATTTTCGGGATTTTTAAGGGATTTTCCCAAGTTAAATATTTGGGAATTTTTGGGGATTTTTTCTAAATTTTTTAGAGATTTTTCGGGAGTTTTTCGGTGAAAAATTTGAATTTTTTGTGAATTTTTTTGAATTTTTTTCGTTTTTTTCCAGGATTTTTAGGGATTTTTCCGAGTTAAATATTCGGGAATTTTTGGGGATTTTTCAGAATTTTTTGGAGTTTTTTAGGGAATTTTTAGGTGAAAATTCCAATTTTTTGGATTTTTTGCCCATTTTTTTTCAATTATTTCTCAGGATTTTTTTGGAGTTTTTTTTCCCCCATTTTTTCAGGATTTTTCTGGGATTTTTCAGGATTTTTCCTGGGATTTTTTGAGGGAATTTTTGGGCCATTTTTGGGTGGAAATTCCCATTTTTTGGGGTTGTTTCCCTCCCACCGGGACACCCCTGCGCTCCATCGGCACAAACTGCCCGACAGGAGCGTCCAGTTCCTCCAGGTGGGGCCAGAATTCCCGAATTTTCATGGAATTTGGGAATTGGGGAAAATTCCGGAGGTCTGGGCATTTTTTCCAGCGAGTTTCTAGGCGAAAATTTGGATTTTTTACGATTTTTTTTTGAATTTTTTGTGATTTTTCTGTGAATTTTTTGAGATGTATTTTGAATTTTATTCCATTATTTTCCAGGATTTTTTAGGGATTTTCCCGAGTTTAATATTTGGGAATTTTTGGGGATTTTTTCAGAATTTTTTAGAGATTTTTCGGGAGTTTTTCAGTGAAAATTTGAATTTTTTGTGAATTTTTTTGAATTTTTTCGGGTTTTTTCCTTATTTTTCATTATTTTTAGGCATTTTTCTGAGTTAAATATTTAGAAATTTTTTGGGGATTTTTTCAGAATTTTTTGGAGTTTTTTAGGGAGTTTTTAGGTGAAAATTCCAATTTTTCGCCCATTTTTTTTCATTATTTCTCAGGATTTTTTTGGAGATTTTCCCCCAATTTTTCAGGATTTTTCCTGGGATTTTTCCGGATTTTTCCTGGGATTTTTGGGCCATTTTTGGGTGGGAAATTCCCATTTTTTGGGGTTGTTTCCCTCCCACCGGGACACCCTGCGCTACATCGGCACCAAACTGCCCGACAGGAGCGTCCAGTTCCTCCAGGTGGGGCCAGAATTCCCGAATTTTCATGGAATTTGGGAATTCACAGAAATTCCAGAGTTCTGGGCATTTTTTACAGCGAGTTTCTAGGCGAAAATTTGAATTTTTTATGATTTTTTTTGAATTTTTTGTGATTTTTTTTGTGAATTTTTGGGATGTATTTTGAATTTTTTTCCATTATTTTCCAGGATTTTTTAGGGATTTTCCCGAGTTTAATATTTGGGAATTTTTGGGGATTTTTTTTCAGAATTTTTTTGAGGTTTTTTTGGTGAAAATTTGAATTTTTTGTGATTTTTTTAAATTTTTTTCGTGTTTTTTCCATTATTTTTCAGGACCTTTTAGGCATTTTTCCGAGTTAAATATTTGGGAATTTTTGAGAATTTTTTTGGAGTTTTTTTAGGTGAAAATTCCGATTTTTTTGCCCTTTCTCTTCCATTATTTCTCAGGATTTTTTTGGAGTTTTTTCCCCCAAATTTTTTAGGATTTTTTGGGGAATTTTTGGGGCATTTTTAGGTGGAAATCTGAAATTTTTGTGAATTTTTTGGGGATTTATTTTGAATTTTTTGGGGTTTTTTTCAGGATTTTCCCCATTTTTCCAGGAGTACATCGTGAACAGGAACAGGAAAATCGAGGTTTTATCCCCATTTTTCCATGTTTTTTCCATGTTTTTCCCATTTTTATTCCCATTTTTATTCCCATTTTTCCCTGTTTTATTCCCATTTTTCCATGTTTTATTCCCATTTTTATTCCCATTTCCAGGAGTACATCGTGAACAGGAACAGGAAAATCGAGGTTTTATCCCCATTTTTATTCCCATGTTTCCATGTTTTATTCCCATTTTTCCATGTTTTATTCCCATTTTTCCCATTTTTCCATGTTTTATTCCCATTTTTCCCTGTTTTATTCCCATTTTCCAGGAGTACATCGTGAACAGGAACAGGAAAATCGAGGTTTTATTCCCATTTTTCCATGTTTTTAATCCCCATTTTCATCCCCATTTTTCCCATTTTTCCCTGTTTTATTCCCATTTTTCCCTGTTTCATTCCCATTTTTCCCATTTTTTATTCCCATTTTTCCCTGTTTTTCCCTGTTTCCCAGGAGTACATTGTGAACAGGAACAGGAAAATCGAGGTTTTATCCCCATTTTTAGCCTGATTTTCTCCGATTTTTCCCATTTTTCTCCCCATTTTTCCATGTTTTTGTCCATATTTTTCCCATTTTTCCCATTTTCATTCCCATTTTTCCCTGTTTTTCCCTGTTTTTCCAGGAGTACATCGTGAACAGGAACAGGAAAATCGAGGGTTTATCCCCATTTTTGTCCCCAGAATTCCATTTTTCCATGTTTTATTCCCAGAATTCCCATTTTTATTCCCATTTTTCCCTGTTTTATTCCCATTTTTCCCATTTTTCCCTGTTTTATTCCCATTTTTCCCTGTTTTCCCAGGAGTACATCGTGAACAGGAACAGGAAAATCGAGGGTTTATCCCCATTTTTGTCCCCAGAATTCCCATTTTTCCATGTTTTATTCCCATTTTTCCCAGTTTTCTCCCCATTTTTCCCATGTTTCTCCCCAGAATTCCCATTTTTATTCCCATTTTTCCCTGTTTTATTCCCATTTTTATTCCCGTTTTTCCAGGAGTACATCGTGAACAGGAACAGGAAAATCAAGGTTTTATCCCCAGAATTCCCATTTTCCCCCATTTTTATTCCCATTTTTCCCTGTTTTTTCCCTGTTTTCCCAGGAGTACATCGTGAACAGGAACAGGAAAATCGAGGAGTTTATCCCCATTTTTCCCAGTTTTCTCCCCAGAATTCCCATTTTCATTCCCATTTTTCCATGTTTTATTCCCAGAATTCCCATTTTTCCCTGTTTCATTCCCATTTTTATTCCCATTTTTCCCTGTTTTCCCAGGAGTACATCGTGAACAGGAACAGGAAAATCGAGGTTTTATCCCCATTTTTCCATGTTTTTTCCATGTTTTTTCCCATTTTTTATTCCCATTTTTCCCTGTTTTATTCCCATTTTTCCCCATTTTTCCATGTTTTATTCCCATTTTTATTCCCATTTTTATTCCCATTTTTCCCAGGAGTATCATCGTGAACAGGAACAGGAAAATCGAGGTTTTTATCCCCATTTTTATTCCCATTTTTCCATGTTTTATTCCCATTTTTCCCAGTTTTTCTCCCCATTTTTCCCATGTTTCTCCCCAGAATTCCCATTTTTCCATGTTTTATTCCCATTTTTCCCTGTTTTTATTCCCATTTTTCCCTGTTTTTATTCCCATTTTTCCCTGTTTTTTCCCTGTTTTCCAGGAGTACATTGTGAACAGGAACAGGAAAATCGAGGTTTTATCCCCATTTTTTGTCCCCAGAATTCCCATTTTTCCCATTTTTATTCCAGAATTCCCATTTTTATTCCCATTTTTCCCTGTTTTTCCCATTTTTCCCTGTTTATTCCATGTTTTTCCAGGAGTACATCGTGAACAGGAACAGGAAAATCGAGGAGTTTATCCCCATTTTTCCCATTTTTCTCCCCAGAATTCTCATTTTCATTCCCATTTTTCCCATGTTTCTCCCCAGAATTCCCATTATCCCCATTTTTATTCCCAGAATTCCCATTTTTATTCCCATTTTTCCCTATTTTTCCCTGTTTTTCCAGGAGTACATTGTGAACAGGAACAGGAAAATCGAGGTTTTATCCCCATTTTTCCCTGTTTTATTCCCATTTTTCCCATTTTTATCCCCATTTTTCCATGTTTTTTGTCCATTTTTTTCCCATTTTCATTCCTATTTTTCCATGTTTTATTCCCATTTTTCCCTGTTTTATTCCCATTTTCCAGAGTACATCGTGAACAGGAACAGGAAAATCGAGGTTTTATCCCCATTTTTCCCATTTTCTCCATTTTTATTCCCATTTTTCCCATTTTTATTCCCATTTTTCCCTGTTTTCCAGGAGTACATTGTGAACAGGAACAGGAAAATTGAGGTTTTATCGCCAGAATTCCCATTTTTAGTCCCGATTTCTCCAATTTTTCCCTGTTTATTCCATTTTTCCAGGAGTACATCGTGAACAGGAACCAGGGAAAATCGAGGGTTTATCCCCATTTTTGTCCCCAGAATTCCCATTTTTCCCATTTTTATTCCCATTTTTCCCAGTTTTCTCCCCATTTTTCCCATGTTTCTCCCCAGAATTCCCATTTTTATTCCCATTTTTCCCTGTTTTATTTCCCATTTTTATTCCCGTTTTTCCAGGAGTACATCGTGAACAGGAACAGGAAAATCGAGGTTTTAACCCCATTTTTCCATGTTTTATTCCCATTTTTCCCAGTTTTCTCCCATTTTTCCCATGTTTCTCCCCAGAATTCCCATTTTTCCATGTTTTATTCCCATTTTTCCCTGTTTCCCAGGAGTACATCGTGAACAGGAACAGGAAAATCGAGGTTTTATCCCTAGAATTCCCATTTTTCCTGTTTTTCCCATTTTTTCCATGTTTTTATTCCCATTTCCCAGGAGTACATCGTGAACAGGAACAGGAAAATCCAGGTTTTATCCCCATTTTTCCCATGTTTCTCCCCAGAATTCCCATTTTTATTCCCAGAATTCCCATTTTTTATTCCCATTTTTACCATTTTTCCATGTTTTATTCCCATTTTTATTCCCATTTTTATTCCCATTTTTCCCTGTTTTCCCAGGAGTACATCGTGAACAGGAACAGGAAAATCGAGCGGCGCCGCCAGGAGCTGACGGAGAAGGAGGGGAACAAACCCAGGGCCGACCCCTTCAAGGGTGGGGAAATTTGGGGAATTTTGGGAATTTTTGGGAAATTTTTTTAGGAATTTTGGGGGAAATTTTTTGGGAATTTTTAGGGATTTTTTTGGATTTTTGGGGAATTTTTTTAGGAATTTTTTCGGATTTTTTTAGGAATTCTTGGGGAAATTTGGGGGGAATTTTTAGAGATTTGGAGGAATTTTTGGAGGAATTTTTGGAGGAATTTTTTTGAATTTTTGGGAAATATTTTTTAGGAATTTTTGGGGAATTTTTTAGGAATTTCTGGACATTTTTGGGGGGATTTTTTTAGGAATTCTTGGGGGAAAATTTGGGGGGATTTTTTTAGGAATTTTTTTGGGGGGATTTTTTTCCTAGGAATTTTTTTGGGGGGATTTTTTTCGAAATTTTGGGGGAAATTTTTGGGAGGTTTTGGGAAAAATTTGTGGGAACTTTCTGGGAATTTTGTGGGGTAATTTTGGGAGTTTTTTTGGGAATTTTCAGGGAACTTTTGGGGAACATTTGAGGATTTTTTTTGGAAATTTTTTGGGAACTTTCTGGGAATTTTTCAGGGAACTTTAGGGGGATTTTTTTTGGAACTTTTGGGGCGTTTTTTAAAAATTTTTGGGGAACTTTCTGGGAGGGTTTTGGGAAAAATATTTGGGAACTTTCTGGGAATTTTTGGGGAAATTTTGGGGAATTTTCAGGGAAGTTTTGGGAAATATTTTGGGAATTTTTTGGGAATTTTCTGGAAATTTTGGGGAGGAATTTTCAGGGAACTTTTGGGGAACATTTGGGGAATTTTTTTGGGAACTTTCTGGGAATTTTTATGGAACTTTCTGGGAACTTTCTATGAGGTTTTAGGGAAAAATTTTTGGGAACTTTCTGGGAAATTTTTTGGGAACTTCCTGGGAATTTTGTGGGGGAAATTTTGGGAATTTTTTGGGGGAATTTTCAGGGAAACTTTGGGAATATTTGGGGAATTGTTTGGGAAAAATTTTTGGGGAATTTTCTGGGAATATTTTGGGAACTTTCTGGGAATTTGGGGGGAAATTTTGGGAATTTTTGGGGGAATTTTGGGGGAAATTTAGGGAATTTTTGGGGGAATTTTGGGGGAAATTTAGGGAATTTTTTGGGGAATTTTGGGGGAAATTTAGGGAATTTTTTGGGGAATTTTCAGGGAAATTTTGGGAATTTTTTTGGGAATTTTCAGGGAAATTTTGGGAATTTTTTTGGGAACTTTTTGGGAACATTTGGGAACATTTTCAGGGTTGGAATTTCTCACTTTCTGTGGCGTTTCTGTTCTCAGGCATCGGTCAGGAGCATTTCTTCAAGCGCATCGAGGCCGCGCATTGCCTGGCGTGCGACATGCTGATCCCAGCCCAGGGAAACCTGCTCCAGAGACACCTGAGATCGGCTGAGCACAACCGCAGCCGCAGGGTGAGAGACTGAGCTTAGGCTGGGCTTAACTTCACCTGAGACCGGGCTTAACTCGGGGTTAGGCTGATCCCAGCCCAGGGAAACCTGCTCCAGAGACACCTGAGATCAGCTGAGCACAACCGCAGCCGCAGGGTGAGACACCGGGGTTAGGACAGGCTTAACTTCACCTTAGACCAGGCTTAACTCGGGTTTAACTCAGGGTTAGGCTGATCCCGGCCCAGGGAAACCTGCTCCAGAGACACCTGAGATCAGCCGAGCACAACCGCAGCCGCAGGGTGAGAGTCTGAGCTTAACTCGGGGTTAGGCTGGGCTTAACTCGGGGTTAGGATGGGTTTAACTCAGGGTTAACTCAGGGTTAGGCTGATACCGGCCCAGGGAAACCTGCTCCAGAGACACCTGAGATCAGCCGAGCACAACCGCAGCCGCAGGGTGAGAGACTGAGCTTAACTCGGGGCTAGGCTGGGCTTAACTTGGGGTTAACTCGGGGTTAGGATGGGTTTAACTCAGGGTTAGGCTGATACCTGCCCAGGGAAACCTGCTCCAGAGACACCTGAGATCGGCCGAGCACAACCGCAGCCGCAGGGTGAGAAACCAGGCTTATATCAGGGTTAGGCTGGGCTTAACTCAGGGTTAGGATGGGTTTAACTCGGGTTTAACTCAGGGTTAGGCTCATACCCGCACAGGGAAACCTGCTCCAGAGACACCTGAGATCGGCTGAGCACAACCGCAGCCGCAGGGTGAGAAACCAGGCTTAACTCGGGGTTAGGACAGGCTTAACTCAGGGTTAGGATGGGTTTAACTCAGGGTTAGGCTGATACCTGCCCAGGGAAACCTGCTCCAGAGACACCTGAGATCGGCTGAGCACAACCGCAGCCGCAGGGTGAGAAACTGAGCTTAACTCGGGGTTAGGCTGGGCTTAACTCGGGGTTAGGATGGGTTTAACTTCACCTGAGACTGGGTTTAACTAGGGTTTAACTCAGGGTTAGGCTCATACCTGCCCAGGGAAACCTGCTCCAGAGACACCTGAGATCGGCTGAGCACAACCGCAGCCGCAGGGTGAGAGACTGGGGTTAGACCAGGCTTAACTCGGGGTTAACTCGGGGTTAGGATGGGTTTAACTCGGGTTTAACTCAGGGTTAGGCTGATCCCAGCCCAGGGAAACCTGCTCCAGAGACACCTGAGATCAGCTGAGCACAACCGCAGCCGCAGGGTGAGAGACTGAGCTTAACTCGGGGTTAGGCTGGGCTTAACTCAGGGTTAGGATGGGATTAACTCAGGGTTAGGCTGATACCCGCCCAGGGAAACCTGCTCCAGAGACACCTGAGATCGGCTGAGCACAACCGCAGCCGCAGGGTGAGAGTATGGGGTTAGACCAGGCTTAACTTCACCTGAGACTGGGCTTAACTCAGGGTTAGGCTGATACCTGCCCAGGGAAACCTGCTCCAGAGACACCTGAGATCAGCTGAGCACAACCGCAGCCGCAGGGTGAGAGTCTGAGCTTAGGCTGAGCTTAACTTGGGGTTAGGCTGGGATTAACTCAGAGTTAGGCTGGGTTTAACTCGGGTTTAACTCAGGGTTAGGCTGATCCCAGCCCAGGGAAACCTGCTCCAGAGACACCTGAGATCAGCCGAGCACAACCGCAGCCGCAGGGTGAGACACCGGGGTTAGGCTGGGCTTAACTCGGGGTTAGGATGGGCTTAACTTCACCTTAGACCAGGCTTAACTCAGGGTTAGGCTGATCCCGGCCCAGGGAAACCTGCTCCAGAGACACCTGAGATCGGCTGAGCACAACCGCAGCCGCAGGGTGAGACACCGGGGTTAGGCCAGGCTTAACTCGGGGTTAGGATGGGTTTAACTCGGGGTTGGGATGGGTTTTTTCCCCCAAATCCCTGCAGAATTCCAGGATTTCTCCCTCAAACCCCTCTGGAATTCCCGGAATTCCGGAATTTCCCCCTCCAACCCCTCTGGAATTCCCGGAATTCTGGGATTTTTTCCCAAACCCCTCTGGAATTCTGGGATTTCCCCCCAACCCCTCTGGAATTCCTGGCATTCCAGGATTTAACCCCCATTATTCCTTCAAACCCCTCTGGAATTCCAGCATTTTCCCCTCAAACCCCTCTGGAACTCCCGGAATTTCGGGATTTTCCCCTCCAACCCCTCTGGAATTCCTGGATTTTCCCTCCAACCCCTCTGGAACTCCGGGATTTTCCCCTCCAACCCCTCTGGAATTCTGGGATTTCCCCCTCCAACCCCTCTGGAATTCCGGGATTTCCCCCTCCAACCCCTCTGGAATTCCTGGATTTTCCCCTCCAACCCCTCTGGAATTCCGGGATTTCCCCCCCACCCCTGGAATTCCTGGTTAACCCCATTTTCCCCTCCAACCCCTCTGGAATTCCTGGATTTCCCCCCACCCTCTGGAATTCCTGGATTTTCTCCTCAAAAACAACTGGAATTCTGGGCTTTTCCCCTCCAACCCCTATGGGATTCCGGGATTTCCCCCCACCCCTGGAATTCCTGGTTAACCCCATTATTCCCTCCAACCCCTCTGGAATTCCCGGATTTCCCCCAACCCCTCTGGAATTCCCGGATTCCCCAACCCCTCTGGAATTCCTGGAATTCCGTTCTCTCCGGTTCGCAGCTGGCAGCGGAGCAGTTCAGGAAGACGAGCCTGCACGTGGCCAAGAGCGTCCTGAACAACAAACACATCGTGGCCATGCTGGACAAGTACCTGCAGGTACCCCTGGGATTGGGAATGGGATCCACTCCGGGAATCCTGCGGGCCCGGGAGGGGGGCAAAAATAACACAACAAATTCCACAGAAATTGCACAGAAATTGCACCAAAAAACCAAAAAAATCCGGAAAAAATTGCACGAAAATGCCACAAAAAACCAAAAAAATCTGGCAAAAATTGCACAAAAAAACCAAACAAATCCGGAAAAAATCCCCCGAAAATTGCACAAAAATACCACACCAAATTCCACAGAAATTGCACGAAAATTGCACAAAAAACACACAAAAAATCCGGCAAAAATCTCCCCAAAAATACCACACCAAATTCTACAGAAATTCCACACCAAATTCCACAGAAATTCCACAACAAATTCCACAGAAATTCCACACCAAATTCCACAGAAATTGCACCAAAACCAAAAAAATCCGGCAAAAATTGCACCAAAAACCAAAAAAATCCGGCAAAAATTGCACAAAAATACCACACCAAATTCCACAGAAATTGCACCAAAAAACCAAAAAAATCCGGCAAAAGTTGCACAAAAAACCCAAAAAAAACCAAAAAAATCTGGCAAAAATTGCACAACAAATTCCACAGAAATTGCACCAAAAACCAAAAAAATCTGGCAAAAATCCCCCCAAAATCTCCCCAAAAATTGCACAAAAATACCACACAAAATTCCACAGAAATTCCACACCAAATTCCACAGAAATTCCACACCAAATTCCACAGAAATTGCACCAAAAAACAAAAACATCTGGAAAAAATTGCACAGAAAACCAAAAAAATCCGGCAAAAATCTCCCCAAAAATCTCCCCAAAAATTGCACAAAAATACCACAACAAATTCCACAGAAATTCCACACCAAATTCCACAGAAATTGCACGAAAATTGCACCAAAAACCCACAAAAAATCCAGCAAAAATCTCCCCAAAAATACCGCAACAAATTCCACAGAAATTCCACACCAAATTCCACAGAAATTCCACACCAAATTCCACAGAAATTGCACCAAAAACCAAAAAAATCCGGCAAAAATCTCCCCAAAAATTGCACAAAAATTCCACACCAAATTCCACAGAAATTGCACAAAAATTGCACATAAAACCCACAAAAAATCCGGCAAAAATCTCCCCAAAAATTCCACACCAAATTCCACAGAAATTGCACCAAAAACCAAAAAAATCCGGCAAAAATCCGGCAAAAAAATCCACGAAAATTCCACAAAAATTGCACGAAAATTCCACAAAAAACCAAAAAAAATCTGGCAAAATTCCACAAAAACCAAAAAAAAATCCAGCAAAAATCCCCCAAAAATTCCACAAAAATCCGCCCAAACATTCCACAAAAATCCCCCAAAAAATTGCACAAAATTCCCCCAAAATATTCCACAAAAAATTCCACAAAAATTCCACAAAAATTCCACAAAATTCCAGAAAAAAACCCCCAAAAATCCAGCAAAAATCCCACAAAAATTCCACAAAAAACCAAAAAGATTTCCACAAAAATCCCTCCAAAAATCCCCCCAAAAATTGCACAAAAATCCCTCAAAAAATTCCACAAAAAACCAAAAAAATCCCACAAAAAATGCACAAAAATCCCTCAAAAAACAAAAAAAAATCCACGAAAATTCCACAAAAAATCCACAAAAATCCCCCAAAAATTCCACAAAATTCTGGCAAAAATCCCTCCAAAAAATTCCACAAAAATCCCCCCAAAAAATCCACAAAAAACCCACTAAAATTCCAAAAAAATCCCCCAAAATTCCAGAAAAATCGCCCCAAAAATACCACAAAAAACCAAAAAAATCCAGAAAAAATCCCACAAAAAATCCGGCAAAAATCCCCCCAAAATTCCACAAAAATCCCACAAAAATTCCCCGAAAAAGCTCCCAAAAATAAAAAAAATTGCCCCAAAATCCCCCAAAATTTCCCCAAAAATCCCCCCCAAAATCCCAAACCTCCCCAGTTTTCCCCATTTTTGGTGTTTTTGTTCCATCCCCAGGTGCCCAATCCCAAAATTCCTGAATTTTCCCCGTTTTTTTCTCCTTTTTTTCCTTCTTTTTCCAGTGGTTTCGCCACTTTTGGGCTTTTTTTGGGAATTTTTTCCCAATTTTTGGGGGAATTTTTCCCAATTTTTTGGGATTTTTTTCCCAGGTTTTTTTTTGGGAATTTTTCCCAATTTTGGGGGGAATTTTTCCCGATTTTTTGAGGATTTTTTCCCAATGTTTTGGGGAATTTTTTCCCGATTTTTGGGGGATTTTTTCCCATTTTTTGGGGAATTTTTCCCAATTTTTTGGGGATATTTTTCCCAATTTTTGGGGGATTTTTTCCCAATTTTTGAGGAATTTTTTCCAATTTTTTGGGGGAATTTTTTCCCAGTTTTTTGAGGATTTTTTCCCAGTTTTAAGGGAATTTTTTTCTGAGTTTTTTTGGGGGGAATTTTTTCCCAATTTTGGGGGATTTTTTTCCCAGTTTTAAGGGAAATTTTTCCTGACTTTGGGGGGAATTTTTCCCAATTTTTTTGGAATTTTTTCCCAATTTTTGGGGGGAATTTTTCCCGATTTTTTGAGGTTTTTTTCCCAATTTTTAAGGGAATTTTTTCCCAATTTTTAAGGGAATTTTTTCCCAATTTTTTCAGGAGATTTTTTTCCTTCATCTCCTCAGCATTAAAGCAAAAATCCCCCCCTGGAGCCATCCAGGAGTTTTTGGAATTTTGGGAATTTTTGGGAATTTTGGGGCAGCTCCAGCCCCAAATCCAATCCCAGGACTCCAAACCCCCCCGAAATTCCCCAAATTTTGGATTTTTCCCCCTGGGAAGGGCAGAGCTGGGGCAGGGCCGGGAATTCGGGGCTTTTCCGGAACGTTCCGGGCAGGATCGGCCGCGGCGGCGCCTCCAGAGGATCCCGGGAATTCCAACGGGAGAAGCTCCAGGATCCCAAAATTCCCTCCCCAATCCTGAACGCTTGGGGTCAACCCGGGCTGGGAAAAGTTGGGGAAAATGGGGAAAAATGGGAAAAAAATGGGAAAAAAATGGGGAAAAATGGGAAAAAAATGGGGAAAAAATGGAAAAAACGGTGCCTGTGCCTCTGGGTCCTGGGAAAAATGGGAATTTGGATCCTGAAAAATGGGATTTGGATCCCAGGAAAATGGGATTTTATCCCAGAAAAATGGGAATTTTAATCCCAGGAAAATGGGATTTGGATCCCAGGAAAATGGGAATTTTAATCCCAGGAAAATGGGATTTGGATCCCAGAAAAATGGGATTTGGATCCTGAAAAATGGACTTAGGATCCTGGGAAGAAGGACCTCAGGTCCAGGGAAAATTGGGATTTTTGGATCCCGAAAAATGGGATTTGGAGCCCAAGGAAAAAGGATTTTGGATCCTGGGAAGACGGACCTGGAGTCCAGGGGGAAATGGGATTTAGGATCCCAAAAAAAGGGACTTTGGAGCCCAAGGAAAAAGGGACTTTGGAGCCCTAAAAATGGGATTTGGATCCTGGGAAGGCGGACCTGGAGTCCTGGGAACAAAGGGATTTAGGATCCCGAGAAGAGGGAGAATGGATCCCGAAGAAAAGGATTTTGGATCCCAGGAAGAGAAGGTACGGTGGAAACGGGGGAAAAGGGATTTAGGATCCCAAACAAAGGGACTTTGGAGCCCTGGAGCAGTGACCCCAAATCCTGGGAAAAGGGACCCTGGATCCCAGGGAAAAGAAGGAATTTGGATCCCAAAAAATGGGATTTGAATCCTGGGAAGATGGACCTGGAGTCCTGGGAACAAAGGGATTTAGGATCCCGGAAAAGGGACTTTGGAGCCCAAGGCAAACGGATTTTGGATCCTGGAAAAATGGACCTGGAGTCCTGGGAAATGGGATTTAGGATCCCAAGAAGAGGGAGCTTGGATCCCAAAAAATGGGATTTGGATCCTGGGAAGACGGACCATGGGTCCAGGGAACAAAGGGATTTAGGATCCCAAACAAAGGGACTTTGGAGCCCTAAAAAATGGGATTTGGATCCCAAAGGAATGGGCGCTGGATCCTTGGGAAAAATGGGATTTGGAGCCCAAGGAACAAAGGGATTTTGGATCCTGGGAAGACGGACCTGGAGTCCTGGGAACAAAGGGATTTAGGATCCCACGAAAAGGGACTTTGGAGCCCAAAAGAAGGGACTTTGGAGCCCGGGGAAAATGGGATTTAGGATCCTGAAAAATGGGATTTGGAGCCCAAGAAAAAGGATTTTGGATCCTGGGAAGACGGACCTGGAGTCCTGGGGAAAATGGGATTTAGGATCCCAAAAATTGGGATTTAGGATCCCAAACAAAGGGACTTTGGAGCCCAAGGAAAACGGATTTTGGATCCTGGGAAAATGGACCTTGGGTCCAGGGTAAAATGGGATTTAGGATCCCAAACAAAGGGACTTTGGAGCCCAAGGAACAAAGGATTTTGGAGCCTGGGAAGACGGACCTGGAGTCCTGGGGAAATGGGATTTAGGATCCCATGAAGAGGGACAATGGATCCCAGGAGAAAAAGGACCTGGAGTCCGGGGAAAAATGGGATTTAGGATCCCGGGAAGAGGAGGGATGGTGCATCCCAAAAAAAGGGACTTTGGATCCCAGGAAAAGTGACCCCAAATGCTGGGAAAAGAAGGGATTTAGGATCCCAAACGGAAGGATTTTGGATCCTGGGAAGACGGACCTGGAGTCCAGGGAACAAAGGGATTTAGGATCCCACGAAGAGGGAGAATGGATCCCGAAGAAAAGGATTTTGGATCCCAGGAAGAGAAGGTACGGTGGAAATGGGGGAAAAGGGATTTAGGATCCCAAACAAAGGGACTTTGGAGCCCGGGAAAAGAAGGGATTTAGGATCCCAAAAAATGGGATTTGGATCCCGAAACAAAGGGACTTTGGAGTCCAAGGAAAACGGACTTTGGATCCTGGGGAAATGGACCTGGAGTCCTGGGGAAATGGGATTTAGGATCCCGAGAAGAGGGAGCTTGGATCCCAGGAAAAATGGGATTTTGGAGCCTGGGAAGATGGACCTTGGGTCCTGGGAAAATGGGATTTAGGATCCCAAGAAGAGGGACTTTGGAGCCCAAGGAAAAATGGGATTTGGATCCCGAAAAAAGGGACTTTGGAGCCCTAAAAAAGGGACTTTGGAGCCCTGGGAAGACGGACCTGGAGTCCTGGGAAAAATGGGATTTAGGATCCCGAAAAATGGGATTTGGATCCTGGGAAGATGGACCTGGAGTCCAGGGAAAAATGGGATTTAGGATCCCAAACAAAGGGACTTTGGAGCCCAAGGAACAAAGGATTTTGGAGCCTGGGAAAAAGGATTTTGGATCCTGGGAAGACGGACCTGGAGTCCAGGGGGAAATGGGATTTAGGATCCCAAACAAAGGGACTTTGGAGCCCAAGGAAAAAGGGACTTTGGAGCCCTAAAAATGGGATTTGGATCCTGGGAAGGCGGACCTGGAGTCCTGGGAACAAAGGGATTTAGGATCCCACGAAGAGGGAGCTTGGAGCCCAGGAAAAATGGGATTTAGGATCCCGGGAGAAGTGGCCCCAAAAGCTGGGAAAAGAAGGGATTTGGATGCCAAGAAGAGGAACAGTGGATCCCAGGAAGAGAAGGTACGGTGGAAATGGGGGAAAAGGGATTTAGGATCCCAAACAAAGGGACTGTGGAGCCCAAGGAACAAAGGAGTTTGGATCCTGGGAAGATGGACCTGGAGTCCAGGGGAAATGGGATTTAGGATCCCAAGAAGAGGGACAATGGATCCCAAAGGAAGGGACACTGGATCCCAAGGAAAAAGGGATTTAGGATCCCAAACAAAGGCACTTTGGAGCCCTGGAGAAGTGACCCCAAATCCTGGGAAAGGGGACCCTGGATCCCTGGGAAAAGAAGGAATTTGGATCCCAAAAAATGGGATTTGAATCCTGGGAAGATGGACCTGGAGTCCTGGGAACAAAGGGATTTAGGATCCCAAGAAGAGGGACAATGGATCCCAAAGGAAGGGGCGCTGGATCCCACGGAAAAAGGGATTTAGGATCCCAAACAAAGGGACTTTGGAGCCCAAGGAAAAAATGGGATTTTGGATCCTGGGAAGATGGACCTGGAGTCCTGGGAACAAAGGGATTTAGGATCCCGAGAAGAGGGACCTGGAGCCCAGGAAGAGAAGGGATTTAGGATCCCAAAAAGGGGATTTGGGATCCCAAAAGAGAGGACACTGGATTTCGGGACAAGCCGGGATTTGGGATCCCAAAAAGGGATTTGGGATCCTGGGAAAAGCTGGGAGGCTGAGACTGGAATTGTGTGGGATGGGATGGGATGGGAGCATCCCCAAATCCCAGTTTGGGATCATTCCCATTTTCCCAGACCAGTAATTCCCATTATCCCAGTAATTCCCAATAATTCCCATTATCCCAATAATTCCCAGTAATTCCCATTATCCCAATAATTCCCATTATCCCAGTAATTCCCAATAATTCCCATTATCCCAATAATTCCCAGTAATTCCCATTATCCCAATAATTCCCGGTATCCCATTAATTCCCAGTAATTCCCATTTTCCCAGACCAGTAATTCCCATTATCCCAGTAATTCCCAATAATTCCCATAATCCCAATAATTCCCAGTATCCCAATAATTCCCATTATCCCAGACCAGTAATTCCCATTATCCCAGTAATTCCCAATAATTCCCATTATCCCAATAATTCCCATTATCCCAGTAATTCCCAATAATTCCCATAATCCCAATAATTCCCAGTATCCCAATAATTCCCATTATCCCAGACCAGTAATTCCCATTATCCCAGTAATTCCCAATAATTCCCATTATCCCAATAATTCCCATTATCCCAGTAATTCCCAATAATTCCCATAATCCCAATAATTCCCAGTATCCCAATAATTCCCATTATCCCAGACCAGTAATTCCCATTATCCCAGTAATTCCCAATAATTCCCAGTATCCCAATAATTCCCGGTATCCCATTAATTCCCAATAATTCCCATTATCCCAATAATTCCCAGTATCCCAATAATTCCCATTATCCCAGACCAGTAATTCCCAATAATTCCCAGTATCTCAATAATTCCCATTATTCCAGTAATTCCCAGTATCCCATAATTCCCAGTAATTCCCATTATCCCAATAATTCTCATTATCCCAGACCAGTAATTCCCAATAATTTCCAGTATCCCAGTAATTCCCAGTATTCCCCATTATCCCAGACCAGTAATTCCCAGTAATTCCCAGTATCCCAGTAATTCCCAGTATCCCAGACCAGTAATTCCCAGTAATTCCCAGTATCCCAGACCAATAATTCCCAGTAATTCCCACTATCCCAGTAATTCCCAATAATTCCCAGTAATTCCCACTTCCCCACCCCAGTAATTCCCAGTATTCCCCAATTTTTCATTTTTTCCCCCATATTTTCTCCTGGTTTTCCTCAAATTTCCATTTTTCCCCCCCAATTTTTATTGGGGTTTTTTGCCCCCAATTTTTCCTGGGTTTTCCCCTCATTTTCCCCAATTTTTCCTGGTTTTTGCCCAATTTTTCCTGGGTTTTCCCCAGTTTTCAATGGGGTTTTTTTGCCCCAATTTTTCTTGGGTTTCCCCCAACATTTTCCCAATTTTTTCCTGGTTTTTTCCCCAATTTTTTCCTGGTTTTTCCCCAATTTTTCCTGGTTTTTCCCCAATTTTCATTGGGGTTTTTTCCCCCAATTTTTCCTGGGTTTTCCCCCCCATTTTTTCTTGGTTTTTCCCCAATTTTCAATGAGTTTTTTCCCCAATTTCCCATGGGATTTTTTCCTCCCAATTTTCCCTCTTTCCCCCTATTTTCCATGGTTTTTCCTCCAAAGTTCCCCTTTCCCCCCAATTTTCCCTTTTCCCCCATTTCTTTCCCAAAATTCGCAGGTTTTTCCCCAAATTTCCATGGTTTCCCCCAATTTTCCCTGTTTTTCTCAAATTTTCCATTTTTCTCCCAAATTTTCAATCCATTTTCCCCAAACTCCATTGTTTTCCCCCCAATTTTCCCTTTTATCCCCCAAATTTCCATTGTTTCCCTCCAATTTTTGGTGTTTTCCTCCCCTATTTCCAAAGTTTCCCCCCCCCCCCCAATTTTCCATAATTTTTTCCTTAATTTTCCCAATTTTCTGTGTCTTTTCCCCAAATATCCCTGATTTTCCCCAATCTTCAATGGTTTTTTCCCCAATTTCCCCCAAAATTTCCATGTTTTGTTCCCAAATTTATCCAATTTTCCCCCAAATTCCCTTTTCCCCCCACTTTTCCCAAATTTCCAATACTTTCCCCCAAATTTCCCTGGTTTTCTCCCCGATTTTCCCTCATTTTCAATATTTTCCCCAATTTTCCCTGTTTCCCCCCCAATTTCCCTGATTTTCTCCCTGATTTTCCCTAATTTTCAATTTTTTTCCCAAATTTCCCCCAAATTCCTGGTTTTCCCCCCAAATTTTCCCTGGTTTTCTCCCTAATTTTCAATATTTTTCCCATTTTTCCCTAAATTCCTGTTTTTCCCCCATTTTTTCCCTGATTTTCTCCCCAATTTTCCCTAATTTTCAAATTTTTCCCAATTTTCCCCCAAATTCCTGGTTTTCCCCCCAATTTTCCCTGATTTTCTCCCTAATTTCCCCTTATTTTCCATATTTTCCCCCCATTTTCTCCCCAATTTTCCCTAATTTTCAATATTTTTCCCCAATTTTCCCTGTTTCCCCCCCCAATTTTCCCTCATTTTCCATATTTTCCCCCCATTTTCTCCCAATTTTCCCAGTTTTTCCCATTTTTTCCCCCAATTTTCCCTCATTTTCAATCTTTTTTTCCCAATTTTCCCCCAATTTCCTGTTTTTCTCCCCAATTTTTCCTCATTTTCAATATTTTCCCCAATTTTTCCCCAAATTCATGATTTTTCCCCGATTTTCCCTCATTTTCAATATTTTTCCCATTTTCCCCCATTTTTCCCTGTTTTCCCCCCTAATTTTCCCTCATTTTCTCCCCAATTTTTCCTCATTCTCAATATTTTTCCCATTTTTCCCTAAATTCCTGTTTTCCCCCCAATTTTTCCCAGATTTTCTCCCCAATTTTCCCTCATTTTCCATATTTTCCCCCCAAATTTTCCCAGTTTTCCCAATTTTTCCCATTTTCCCCCCCAATTTCCCCTCATTTTCCATATTTTCCCCCCAATTTTTCCCATTTTCCCCCCCAATTTTCCCTCATTTTCAATATTTTCCCCAATTTTCCCGGTTTCCCCCCCAATTTCCCCTCATTTTCTCCCCAATTTTCCCTCATTTTCCATATTTTCCCCCCAATTTTTCCCATTTTCTCCCCCAATTTTCCCTAATTTTCAATATTTTCCCCAATTTTCCATATTTTCCCCCCAATTTTTCCCAATTTTTCCCATTTTCTCCCCCAATTTTCCCTCATTTTCAATATTTTTCCCCATTTTTTCCCCAATTTTCCCTCATTTTCTATATTTTCCCCCCAATTTTTCCCAATTTTCCCAATTTTTCCCCCCAATTTTCCCTCAATTTTTCCCTGATTTTCTCCCAATTTTCCCCCCATTTTTCCCCAATTTTTTCCCATTTTCCCCCCAATTTTTCCCAATTTTTTCCCATTTTCCCCCCAATTTGTCCCAATTTTTTCCCATTTTCCCCCCAATTTTTCCCAAATTTTTCCCATTTTCCCCCCAATTTTTCCCAATTTTTTCCCAATTTTCCCTCATTTTCCCCCCATTTTTTCCCAAATTTTTCCCATTTTTCCCATTTTTCCCCAATTTTTCCCCATTTTTCCCCTCCAGGGTGAAGATCCCTTCACGGAGGAGCCCCAGGACGGCCCCAAAGCCGCGGAAATCCCGGAAAAATCCCCGGAAAATCCCGAAATTGCCCAGGATTGCCCCAAAGCCCAGGAATTCCTGACGGCCCCCGGGCCCCTCCTGGTGCCCCCTTTCCTGGAGGAGCCCGAAATTCCTGAAAATCCCCAAAATCCCCTGGAAAACCCCCTGGAAAATCCCCAAAATCCCCAGGAAAATCCAAAAAATCCTGAAAATTCCCAGGAAAATCCAAAAAATTCCCAAGAAAATCCCAAAAATTCCCAAGAAAATCCCAAAAATCCCCAAGAAAATCCCCCAAAATCCCAGGAAAATCCCCAAAATTCCCAAGAAAATCCCCAAAATTCCCAAGAAAATCCCCAGGAAAATCCAACAGAAAAATGCCAGGAATTGGGGATTTCACCCCAAACCCAAACTGAGGAGGAAGAAGAGGAGAAAATTCCGGAAAAAATTCCAGAAAAAGAGGAAAAAACCCCAAAAAAGGAGGAGGAGAAAACCTCAGAGGAGCCCTGAGAATTCCAGGTGAGGATCCCACCCCAAAAATTTGGATTTTTCCAGGGTTTTCCCCCCCTGGAATTGGAATTTTGGGGAGAATTCTTGGCAATTTCATTAAATTGAATTTTTCCCATTTTTTCCTTCCCATTCCTGATTTATTTTTTTCTTTTCCAGGTTGAAGAAGCCACAAAAGAGGAGAAATTCCTGAATTTTTCCCATTCTCTGCTGGGATTTGGGGCAATTTTTAGGGAAAAGCTCCAAAAATTGGGAAAAATAAAAAATTGGAAGTTTGGAAAAATTCCTGAGGATTTCTTTCATTTTTTTCCCTCAAAATTTCTCCATTTTAGGGAAGATTTTTGCCCCAAAATTGGAAATTTTGCCTTTAATTTTCCCTTTTTTTTTAATTCCCAGGGAGGATTTGGGAATTCCTGATCCAAGGGAGATTTTTGGGGAGAAATTCCTGAATTTTTTACCCCAAAATTTCCCTTTTCCAGCAGAATTTGAGGCTCCACCCTCATGATTTTAATTCTTTTTCTTTTTCTTAAAAAATTCCCAAAAAAATCCAGGAATTTTTTGGGATTCAGAGCTGGAATTTTAAATAAATCCCGGATTTTTTTGGTTTCATCAAAATTCCCGTTTTTTACCCCAAAAATCGATGGGGATTCCTCCAAAAAATGGAAATTTTGGGGCGATTTTTGTTGGAATTGAAGCCGAATTTCTCTGGAATTGGAATTTCCTGGGGGGGGCGCGATGGGGACCCCAAAACCCCCAAAAATGTCCCCAAAACCCCCAAAAATGTCCCCAAAATGTCCCCAAAACCCCCAAAAATGTCCCCAAAACCCCCAAAAATGTCCCCAAATTGTCCTCAAATTGTCCCCAAAATGTCCCCAAAGGGTCCCCAAAATGTCCCCAGAGACCCCAAATTGTCCCAGGGACCCCCAAAATGTCCCCAAATTTTCCCTGGGACCCCCAGGGACCCCAAAGTGTCCTCAGGACCCCCCCAAAATGTCCCCAAAGGGTCCCCAAAATGTCCCCAGGACCCCTCAAATGTCCCCAAAATGTCCCTGAGACCCCCAGGACCCCCCAAAATGTCCCAGAAATGTCCCCAGGACCCCCTAAGTGTCCCCAGGACCCCTCAAAATGTCCCCAAAGGGTCCCCAAAATGTCCCTGGGACTCCAAAATTGTCCCAAAATGTCCCCAAGAGGTCCCTGGGACCCCTCAAAGGCCCCCAAAATGTCCCCAAATTGTCCCTGAGACCCCCAGGACCCCCCAAAATGTCCCCAAAGGGTCCCCAAAATGTCCCCAGAGACCCCAAAATGTCCCCGGGATGCCCCAAATGTCCCCGAAATGTCCCCAGGGACCCCCAAAGTGTCCCCAAAATGTCCCCAGAGACCCCAAATTGTCCCAGGGACCCCCAAAATGTCCCCAAATTGTCCCCGAGACCCCCAGGACCCCCTAAAATGTCCCCAAAGGGTCCCCAAAATGTCCCCAAAGGGTCCCCAAAATGTCCCCAGGATGCCCCAAATGTCCCCAGGACCCCCCCAAAATGTCCCCAGGGACCCCCAAAGTGTCCCCAAACTCCCCCTGATGTCACCCAGGACCCCTCAAAATGTCCCCAAAATGTCCCCAAGGACCCCCCTAAAGTGTCCTCAAACCCCCCCCCCCCGGTGTCATCCAGGACCCCCCAAATGTCCCCAAAATGTCCCAAGGACCCCCCAAAACGTCCCCAAAGGGTCCCCAAAATGTCCCCAGGACCCCCCTTGGTGTCACCCAGGACCCCCCAAAATGTCCCCAAGGGACCCCTCGGGACCCCCCCTCCCCTTCCCCATTCCCGGTGCCCTCCCCCCCCCTCAAATGTCCCCAAGGTCCCCCCGGTGTCCCCAAGGGCCCCCCCGGTGTCCCCCAGGACGCCCCCCCCCATTCCCGGTGTCCCCAAAGCCACTCCCGGTACCCCCGGGACCCCTCAATGGCCCCTCCCGGTGTCCCCCCCCCCCCCATTCCCGGTGTCCCCTCCCCCTCATTCCCGGTGTCCCCTCCCCCCTCATTCCCGGTGTCCCCTCCCCCCCATTCCCGGTGTCCCCTCCCCCTCATTCCCGGTGTCCCCTCCCCCCTCATTCCCGGTGTCCCCTCCCCCTCATTCCCGGTGTCCCCCCCCATTCCCGGTGTCCCCCCCCCTCATTCCCGGTGTCCCCCCCCCTCATTCCCGGTGTCCCCCCCCATTCCCGGTGTCCCCCCCCCCCCTCATTCCCGGTGTCCCCCCCCTCATTCCCGGTGTCCCCCCCCATTCCCGGTGTCCCCCCCCCCCCTCATTCCCGGTGTCCCCCCCCCTCATTCCCGGTGTCCCCTCCGGTCCCTCCCCCGCTGTCCCCTCATGCCCCGGTGTCCCCCCGGTTCCCCCCCCCCTCCCGTCCCTGGTCCCGTTCCCTCTCGTGACGTCACGCGGCGGGGCCGGCGGCGGTGGGCGTGTCCCGGTTGCGCCGTGACGTCACGCGCAGCGCGGTGAGGTCAGTGCGGCGCCGCTGCCGGACCCGCTGCCCCTCGGTGCCCGCGGCCCCCCCGCCCCCTCCCCTCCCTCCTCCTCCTCCTCCTCCGCCCCCGCCGCCGCCCCCGGCCCGCCGGGAGGGAGGGAGGGCGGCCCAGCCCGGCCCGACGCGGCCCGGCCCCCCTCAGGTAAGAGCGGGGCCGCGACGGGCGCGCCGGGAGGGCCGGGCCGAGGCCTGACCGGGGGTGGCGGCGGCGGCGGCGCTGAGGGGAAGCGGGAGGAAGGAGCGGGGACGCCGGGTGGGCTTCATGGGGGTGCCGCGATTCACCAACGCCGCTTACGTCGCCCCGCCGGCGTAACCCGCATTGCGTAATGCGGCCGCTGCGTCAGGGCGGCTACGCCAACGGCGTAAACTGCGGCGCGGGCCCCGCCGCTGCGCCAACGCCGTAAAGGCGGGGGCGCCGCTGGCGCAAGCGCCGGGCACGCGTCCCGCTCCGCCGCGCCCGCCGATCTCTCCGCCGCCTCCCGGTGCGGCCGGCGGGCGATCCGCGGCCCGGCCGCCCTCACCGGGCGGCGCGGGGGGCTCCGGGGGCCACGGGGGTCGCGGCGAAACGCCCTCCGCCCTGCGCCGCCGGGGTTACGCCGTTTGCGTAGGGCGCGGGGCGGGGCGGGCGGGGCCGCGCTCCGCCGTTTGCGTAAGCGCCGTTCAGCGCCGCCTTACGCCGTTGGCGTAGGAGCGGCCGTGCGCGGCCTTACGCCGTTGGCGTAGCGCCGGGCGTGCGCGGCGCGGGCGGGGCCGCATTACGCCGTTGGCGTAGCGCGGGGCGGGGCCGGCGCGCGGGGGGCACTTCCTGCCGCCGCCATTTTGTCGCGGACCGGGAGGAAGCGGCGGCGGCTCCTGCGCGGCGGCAGCGCCGGCCCGGCCCGGCCCGGCCCGCGGTGAGTGAAGCCCGGGACGGCGCCGGCAGCGCCCGCCATGCACGGGCGGGGCCGGGCGGGGCAGCGCCGCTGCGGCGGAGCGAGCCCGCCCCCGTTAGGCCCAGCCCGCCCCCGTTAGGCCCAGGCCGCTCCCGCCCCGCGGGGCCGCCCCCGCCCGCTCCGTGAGGGGAGGACGCGGTCAGGGCGGCCCGGGGCTGAGGGGCCTCGGCGGGCCCGGTGCTGCGGCCTCTCCCGGGCCGCTTTGGAGCTTTCCCGGTGCGGCTTTGCGGGATCGCCGCGGTTTGGGGCGGGTGTGGGGAACGGTGACGCTGGAGCGCTCGGAGCTGCGAGCGCGGCGGGGCCTGAGGGGAGCGCGGGGGGCACCGGGGGGACACCGGGAGTTTGGGACATGAGGAGGGACAGCGGGACATGAGGGGACAGCGGGATATGAGGAGGGACAGCAGGGCATGAGGGGACACCGGAACGTGAGGGGACACCCGGACATGAGGGGACCCCGGGACATGAGAAGGGACAGCGGGACATGAGGAGGGACAGCGGGACATGAGGGGACACCCGGACATGAGGAGGGACAGCGGGACATGAGGGGACACCGGGACATGAGAAGGGACAGCGGGACATGAGGAGGGACACCGGGACATGAGGGGACACCGGGACATGAGAAGGGACAGCGGGACATGAGGAGGGACACCGGGACATGAGGGGACACCGGGACATGAGGGGACAGCGGGACATGAGGAGGGACAGCGGGGCCTGAGGGGACACCGGGACATGAGGGGACAGCGGGGCCTGAGGAGGGACAGCGGGACATGAGGAGGGACAGCGGGACATGAGGGGACAGCGGGACATGAGGACGGACAGCGGGACATGAGGGGACACTGGGGCTTGACGGGACACCGGAGCTTGAGGGGACAGCGGGACATGAGGAGGGACATGAGGGGACACCGGGAGTTTGGGGTGGGAACGGGACACTGAGGGGATTCCTGGATGGTTTGGGGTGGGAAGAGGACACTGAGGGGATTTTTGGGATGGGAATGGGCCACTGAGGGAATTCTTGGTTTATTTGGGATGAGGAGCAAACGTTGAGGGGATTCACGGATGTTTTGGGACAGGAAGGGGAGATTGAGGGAATTCTGGGGTTTTTTGGGATGGGAGTAAAACACTGAGGGAATTCCTGCTTGTTTTGGGATGGGAATGGGGTAATGAGGGAATTCCTGGTTTTTTTTGGGATGGGGATTGAACTCTGAGGGAAATCCTGAGTGTTTTGGGGCAGGAATGGGACACTGAGCAGATTCCTGGATGTTTTGGGGTGGGAATGGGACACTGAGCAGATTCCTGGATGTTTTGGGGTGGGAATGGAGCAATGAGGGAATTCCTGGATGGTTTGGGGTGGGAAGGGGACCCTGAGGGAATTCTTGGATGTTTTTGGGGTGGGAATAAAGGATTGAGGGAATTCCTGGATGATTTGGTGTGGGAAGGAAGCACTGAGGGAATTCCTGGTTTATTTGGGATGGGCAGTGAACACTGAGGGGATTCCTGGGTGTTTTGGGATGGGAATGAAACACTGAGGGGATTCCTGGATGTTTTGGGGTGGGAAGGGGACATTGAGAGAATTCCTGGTTTTTTTGGGGCTGGGGATTGAACTCTGAGGGAATTCCTGTGTGTTTTGGGATGGGAATGGGACACTGAGGGAAATCCTGGGTGTTTTGGGATGAGGATTGAATTCTGAGGGAATTCCTGGAAGTTTTGGGGTGGGAATGGGACACTGAGGGTATTCTTGGTTTATTTGGGGTGGGAAGGGGGCACTGAGAGAATTCCTGAGTGTTTTGGGATGA